AAACTGGCACCCAACGAGAGGAGAAAAGGGTCAGGTCCTGCTGCACATCACTGAACAGGACAGGGAGTGCCAGCTCTGGGCACTGCCACCCTGGGTGGGGACTGTGGGAGCTCTCACGGGGAGAAAAATGGTAATTTCAATAAATCCAGGCTGGCTGGGTCACTGATGGAGGGGACTCCTCAAAGCAAACCCTCTGGGGGCACTAAGAGCAGTACAAACAGCAGGATCCACTCAGGGGGAGACCCCCAGCCCACAAATCCTGAGTGGAGCAGCATCACAGTGTAGCAATGGGCACTAGAGGGTACCAGGGGCACTCAGGGGTAACCTGCCCTCTTCACAACAAGAAAAAAATATTTTTAGGCAAGTGAAGGTCTTAGTGCACTTCTTTTGTGCAGTTTGGAAAATCAGGTCCTACCTTGGACTGGATTTGGGTTCAATAAACCCCCGTTATCAGGTGATGTGGGCAAAGGACCTTTCACAACACAACCACCCTCACACAGAACATTCCCTCACCTACACAAACCCCAGCTGAGGCTGTCTCAGGTAAAATACTGCCTTGTCTCTCTAAATTATTTCCTCCTTTCACATTCTGTTGGTCTGGTTTGTGTTTGGAAAGCTTTGCACTGCTATGGACACAGCAGGAACCTCACTGCACTTGCTGAGTTCCTGTAGCTCTGTTTTAGATTAGAACAGGCCCCTTCCCTCTGGTGCTGCTGGAAATTTTCAGCATTATTTCAGGGCAGATTTTACAATTCAGTCCTTTAGTTTCTCTCAGATTATTTTCTCATGGCAGGTAAAATTCCATCCAAGGCTGTCATTCCCCAAAGGAAGACTGAGGGGTGAAGTTAAAGAAAGGTAATTCCCTTTCTTAACTTCCAGGGTTTTCGGGAAGGAGCACAACAGCAAAGCAGCTTCCTAAGGCAGGAATTTGGGGTTGGCTGTTTTCCTTTATACTCCCAGTTGATGGCAAGTGCTCAAACCCCATAATCCACCCCAGAGATGATCCACCTGTACCTCAGGAAACATGGTTTTCCCTAATCTGTTCTCAAGTCTAGCAAGTGCTACGATCTGGAAACACCCCTTTTGAAGAAAACAACATCATTACAGGTAAAAACCTGATGTGGGAAGGTTCTAAAGCAGCAGGGATAAAGGCAGGAACTCTACAAGGCTGTGGTGAGTGTGGGGAGGAGGGGAAGGAGCTGCAGTCGTGGTGCACCCATCCGCTAGGAAAGCACAACTTGGAATCTCCAACCTTCTGTCGCTGAGCACCCATGAAAACGGAGAGAAATTAAATTTAAAAGTGATCAAACTGAAAATGGAGCCGTGGTTGTGACTTAAAACCCGAATGGTGCAGTTCAGAACATCATGCACGTTTGTGCTTACACAAGGAGAGGAAGGTTTCAACAAGCACTGCAGAGCACAGGGAGGAGGAGGAGGAGGATGGAGCGCCGCCAGCACGGCCACCCTTTGGCTTCTTCCAAGGAGGCAAAGCAAGAGCTCTGTAAAATGCTGAAGATTTTAGAAGTGTAATGGCAGGTAGAAAAGGACACTGGTCTTGTGTCAGTGGCAGCCCCAGTGTTAGGAGACAGTCTAGGCTTCTAGGAGGAGAAAATAGAAGAGAGGAGAAGAAGAAGGAGAGGGAAAGGGGATGGGGAGAGGGGCAAGAAAGCGCAAGTCGTTAGTAAACATGAACATCCAGGTAGCACACACTGCTCAACAAGCAATACTTCATTTAGTGCAGCCAGGAGATTTGCCAAAAGCCACTTTGGAGGTACGTGGAATTCTGCTTTTAGGAGTGCCTGGGAATGGAGCCGCGCGCGACGCCGGGCCGTGCTCGGGCAGGGCCAGTGACACCCAGGAGAGCTCAGGAGGCTGCCCAAAGGCACAATTTGCACTGAGAACAAAGTATTTCTGTGACCCAATCGTGGATAGGAGAATTCCAAGCCGGCTGGCTGGAGGGGAAGCCCAGCTAAGGGGAGTATGAACGTTGGGACACTTCCCCTGGGTACTTCTCACCTGCCAGCAAGAGAATGAGCAGCACCTCGGGCAAGAGGCACCCAGATTAAAGCATGTGATCATCCTTGATGGATTTGTGGCCAGAAATTTGGTTGGTTTTTTTATTTTTAAATATAGAATTCCTTTGAACTCTAGGCAAATATCCTATTTGCAACGAGGAGTTGCAAATCGAAAATTACCCACGTTATTTTTTGTTTTAAAACTTCTGTGAAGAGCTTTACTGAGCCCTGCCTAATCTCTGCATGGTGAAGGGGAGCAGTGAGGTCCCTCCCTCACCACCTTATGCCATCTGGAATGATACACTATTAATGATTTCCCTTGCTGGTTCCCTCAGCTCTGTGCTTGCCTTCCCTCGGAATGCTGCTCCAACTGCTCTATTTATCCTTATAAGGAAGAACTGGATTAACAGCAAGACTTGCAGTGGATGTGCCGAGCACCCAAAGCCAGATGCAGCTCTCAAATTCCCAAAAAACACCCCCCCAAGCCAGACACCAATGGTCACGTAGAGCTCAGCACTGCCAAGAAATGAACCCCCCCCCGGAGCTGTTGCCTCCCTTCCCAAAATCCTGACCTGTGCCCATCCCTGCAGGAATGCTTTAAACAGCACTGTCAGAGCCAACATAACTCAACACCACTGGAGGGTTTGCCCCCCAGCTCCAGGAGGTTTGGGTTTCTGCCATGTGCTGCATTAAGGGGATGTTGGAGCAGGGCATCGGTCTGGAGGCAGCACAGGCTGCCAAGATTTCAGTCCTGACTAATTCCAAGCTCTGCACACCACCCCCCCCCATGTTGTAGATAATGTTGCAAGCCATAATATCAAGTCATCACCTTGTTTTATTTGATTAGTGAACAAAGAAGTGCAGCAAAGCTTCCTGTGCTCCAGCCCGGAGAGATCCATGTTTGTGCCATCAAACAGCCTCCCAGCACCTTCTCCTTGGAGTCTGTTCCACAATCCAACTCCAACCCAATTCTGCTTTTTCAAAGCTCTCTCTGTGGCTTTCAACACTTGGGTTTGTAGCAAAATGCTGGTTTCCCTGAGCATCACCTTCCTCAGTCCTCCCTTGGCTGCTCCATTTCCCACCTCTGCACTGGGCTCACATCCCACATCCCTAAAAACCATTCCAGCTTTCAGACACAGCTGAGGGACTAGATCCAGGTGGAAATAAGCCAGCCACGACTTGGAGGTGGCTTAGGGCCAGGGCCTCCAGGGCTGTTTTAGGCAGCACCACCTATGGCAGGACCTGGCCCGGGTGCTCCTGCAGAGCATCAGCTGCTGCTCGGCCCTGAAACCCCGGATGGAAATGCAGCATTCCTCCTTCTCCCTGATGGATAACCAGGGACATTTCAATATTGCACCAAGGAGGGGGGCAGGGGGAAGAGGCTGTGAAGGAATTGTGTCGTATCAACCCTCTGTTGTTCTGGAAAGCCTAATTAACTTGATGCCCACGACTCCTCAGCTCTGACGTGCTGCTCCCACCGCTTTGATGTCGCTTTTAGACAAGACTTTAACAAGAGGAGAAGAGATCCAACTCTGCCCCACAAAGAGGGAACGTATTAATAAATTAAAAAGCCTCAGACACATAAAAGTGTCTTTGATCAAAGTTGTTAACATTTAGTGTGTGAAGAGTTAAAACCCCCACAAAGCAAGAGCGAAGCAAATAAAGGATTTTTTAAACACAAGTCAGAAGTTCAATACAAACATCACGATGCATTTAATTAGTCAGACCCAGAGTACCATAAATCTGATTATATTTCCGTGTCCTTTTAGTTATAAGTATTAAAAAAGAGGAAGGAAGCATCCTCAGGGAGGTTCAGAAGCGTTCTTAATTTCAGTTTAAACAACAAAAGATGCACAACTTCATCTTGACTGAATTTACAATGTCAAATTAAGCACAAAGATCAATTTTCATATTCCCATCCTCAATAAGGGCATGAAACTCACTCACACTCTAAATCAAGCTCTAATATTCTAAAGAGAATTATAACAGAGAGATGTTTTAATTCATCCCCGTCTCCCAAACATTCATCATTATTTCCTGATTACTTTTTTTCCCTCGGGGTCACACCCATGGATCAGGAGGGGTGTAAGGCTGGGAGCACCCAAACAGTCTTAGCAATGATCTGTACTAGAGATGAGCTGGAGGGCATGACAAGAGAGACCAAATAAATAGTTCTTAACCAATGCCAGGATGACAACTGATTTTGGAATATTTTATCCTCAAGAAAAGAGAGATCCCACAGTCAGAGCCCTCACCACAAAAGGAAACAGATGGGTTGGAATTTTGGAAGTCACAGCAAAGAAGACTCAAAAGGAAGCAGTGTTTAACTCTAACTAAGAGAAGACCAACCTCAGCACATCAGGGTGATTGGAAAGATCAATAATTTTCCAGGTTCCTCACAAGTCTGAAATATTTCTCTACTTCAGTCACGAGTTTCCTGCAGTCAAAACCATCCTAATGCTACAGAACGGGGTCCAGAAGGCCTGGATGGCACCTGGGACAAGCTAAAGGAGGTGTGGGAGATGTTTCCAGCAGGGGAGTTTGGGGTGGGAGGAGAAGCTGCAGAATTCAGCAGGGTCAAGGCAGTGAAGAAAAACTGCACCAGAGGATGGTGGAGTTGGACAAAAATCACTGTCAGTTCACAGAGAACAGCAAGAGTCACGGGTCAGGGAGAGCTCAGCTCTGGATGTTATGGACTGGAAAACCATTTTTATTACAGCCCTGGACGTTGCCTTCCCAGCACTGACCATGGATAAAAACACAACACCTTCAGAGTGAGGCTTTGTGCAAATGAGCCACTTCAAACTCCAAAGAAAATGAAGCTCTACTCTGCCAGAAATTCTCTGAAAAGATCATTAAACCAAACACAATCCCCTGGGAGGAAATCAGACTCAAAAAGAAGATGCATTTGGCCATGGTGAAGGTTCAGTGCTCTGACAACAAAAACAGAAGTTGCTGTGTGTCCTCTGGACACCAAACACGTACCTGTGTGATGATCTCCCAGGCCATGGTCACCGTTCTCCACCACCGTGGGGCCACAGGCTGAGGAGTCTGCAGGGAATCAAAGCAGCTGTTAACACTGGATGCAGCCAATCTTAACCCAGAACCCAAACCCAGCACTGTGAGGACTCAATGGAATGCTTTGGGTTGGAAGGGACCTTAAAGCTTGTCCAGTGCCACCCCCTGCCATGGGCAGGGACACCTTCCACCAGCCCAGGTTGCTCCAACCTGGCCTTGGACACTTCCAGGGATCCAGGGGCAGCCACAGCTTCTCTGGGCAACCTGGGCCAGGGCCTCCCCACCCTCACAGTCAGGAATTCCTTCCCAATATCCCATCTAAATTTATCCTCTTTCAGCTTAAAGCCATTCCCCCTTGTCCCATCCCTCCAGGCCCTTGCAAATAGTCCCTCTCCTTACCACAAACAAGGTTTGGTTTTTCCCCACAGTGAGATGAGCTTTCAGGTCCCTTCCAACCCAACCCACCTGGGACTCTCTGATTTTATGACACTGAGTAGTTTTAGCTGAGCATAACAAGCAGCACAAGCCCCAAGAGCAGCTCAGCTCCCCGGGCCATCAGCTCTGCTCAGGGGCAAGGAACACTCAGCCCTGGCTTCAAACAGCCTGTAAATAAATACCAACAGCTCACTCCCAGAGTGACACACACTCAGTCACCTGGAGCTGCTGCTGCCCCTTCCCCTACCAAAGCCATGGTACCAGTGTCCTTCAGGCATAGCTTAATCCAACCCTCAGGGGAGCACAAGGAAAAGTCTTCCCAGCTACATCAGTGGCTCACTGTGGTGTTTTAGGAAAATTCTACATGAACTTGCCAGTTTACAGAAAAACATACACCTACACCCTCCTGAAGGAGCTGAAAATACTCCAGGGATCCCTGGACCCGTTTCTCAGCAGTTCCACACACCAGCTCCTCCTGCTGCCAGGCTTTACAAGGGCTGGTGTTCACTGGAACAGTGGGATGGTCCTAACTGATAACTGGGAGAAGCACTGGCAGTCCCTGAATTCCCTGAGCAGTCCAGGCAAGGAGAAATGGGGGGCCTGGGGTGGTTGGTACCACACTGTGTCACAGATGCCAGGGGTACACAAGCAGGAACAGCCAAGGAATCTCCAAGGAATCACACAGGGGAGCCCACAGGACCTGCTGAACCCTCCAGGAAACAGTGAGGGAGCTCAGCCTGGCTGCAGGGATCACAGAACCTCCTGGGCTGGAAAGGACCCACAAGGATTACTAAAGTCCAACTCCTGGCCCTGCATCAGCTGGAATTTCTCCCTGGAAAGGGTGGTCAGGCCTTGGCAGGGGCTGCCCAGGGAGGTTTGGAGTGCCCAGCCCTGGAGGTGTCCCAGGAAGGCCTGGCTGTGGCACTCAGTGCTCTGGGCTGGGGGACAAGGTGGGCATGGGGCACAGGGTGGGCTCTGTGACCTTGGGGGGCTTTTCCAACCTGGATGGTTCCATGATTCTGATGCCACCACCTTTATTGATGCATTAAACCAGGACTGGATCCCAAATGTGACTGCACACCCCGGATGAGCCCTGGGAGTGTGCTGCACACTGGGAGCACTGGTGCAGGTCACAAAGTGTGGGAGACTCTACAACTGCTCTGGGAGCGCCTGGAAGGAGTCTGTGTGCCCCTGAGGTCAGCTTTGCACTGCTCATGGCCCGCTCAGGGCTGTCTCAGGTGGCACCCCAGTGATGTCAGCTCTTCAGAAAACAAGCACTTCACCTGCAGGAAGGTTTCACTGACAGACTGATCTCCAGGCACAAAAAGAAAAGCCAGGACACCCCCACCTGTCCTACTGAGGGCTCTGCAAACTTGGAACAAGAAAACCCTACCAAAACATCAGCCAAGCTGCCCAAACCCTGTGGTAGATGGAAACAAGGGCAGCTCAGAGCCAACTGTGTCCCACAAGTGCCACAGAGCAGGATCAGCACATCAAACCCTCGACCAGGAGAAAGCTAAAGGAGATTTTTGGCTCAAAGTGGGTTTCTAAACGAGCAAAAGACTCAGAAATGCCATGTCTTTCCTTGGGGAGGATAAAGAGCAGGTAAAATTGCTTCCTTTACAGCTTCAGCTTTTCTGGAAGACAAGCTTCCAGAAAAATCAGGTCAAATCAAACCAACTCCAGGCAGCACGAGTGGTTGTTATTTTTATGGCTCTGAAGGTCAGTGCCTTTGGAGCAAATCAATCTGATTTGAGTTTGCTACAGCACAAGTGCAAAGCACCCAGAACCCTCCCGGGGCCGGGGCTCCTCCCCTCATATTCTAAATTGCATAAAACCAAAAACATGTCAAGATGTTGTAACGATCTAATCCCCATCAGAATCACAAGATAGTATTTGCATCTGGCTCGTGGATCAAAGGATTGTTTTTATATAAACAAATTTAAGGCAGCACTGGCTAAACCGATAATCTCAAGCAAATGGCCAGTGCCAATATAACCCCCTAATCCCCAGCAGGGCCCGGGCACAGCCCAGCCCGGGCAGGGATGGGACCCCCGAGGGCAAAGAGAGCTCTGGGCAGGACAGGTGGGCTGGGAGGTGTTAACCAGGAGCTTCATCTATTTCAATTTATAGGTTTAAATGTTCTATCTCAAAATCACCTGCAGAGCTGTTCCAGCCCTGGGAACAGCAGCAGGAGGACGTGGAGCTGCTGGAGAGAGTCCAGAGGAGGCCCCAGAGATGCTGCCAGGGCTGGAGCCCCTCTGCTCTGGAGCCAGGCTGGGAGAGCTGGGGGGGTTCCCCTGGAGAAGAGAAGGCTCCAGGGAGAGCTGAGAGCCCCTTGCAGGGCCTGAAGGGGCTCCAGGAGAGCTGGAGAGGGACTGGGGACAAGGGATGGGGGGACAGGACACAGGGAATGGCTTCCCACTGCCAGAGGGCAGGGAGAGATGGGATAGTGGGAAGGAATTTTTGGCTGTGAGGGTGGGGAGGCCTTGGCAAAGGTTTCCCAGAGAAGCTGTGGCTGCCCCTGGATCCCTGGAAGTGTCCAAGGCCAGGTTGGACAGGGCTTGGAGCAATCTGGGCTGGTGGAAGGTGTCCCTGCCCGTGGCAGGGGGTGGCACTGGATGGGCTTTAGGTCCCTTCCAACCCAAACCAGTCTGGGATTCTGTGATTTAACAGCTTTGGGGCAGCTATGGGGCTGGACAGACTTTGAAGGGGAGAAGGTTCAATGTATCATCTGAGACAAAAACACAAATCTCCTCATTTGCTGATTTTTCTTTGATCCCTCTGAAACTTCAGCGTGCACAGAACATTCCCCATCCCCACTCTCAAAAGTGACAAGGTGTCTGAACTCCCTTTTGCAGAAGCAAATCCTGCTTCAAGAAAGGCATTAATCCCTCATTAAAGGGGAAAGGGAGGGAAAAGCAAAGGAACCATGGTTTGGCCTCGGGTTTCAGGCTCTGGGGCTGTGTTTCCAGGGCAGGGCAGGGTGGGCAGCACTGGCTGTCCAGCAGTGTCCACAGCACCAGCAGAGCCACCTCGTGGTGACACATCTGCTCCAGACAGCCCCAGAGCCACTGCCCAGGTCTGTTCAACCAAAACAACCTCAGCTCTTAGTGCTGCTCAGGGTTTGTGTCCTGTCGTGGTTCAAGCCCAGCTGGAAAGGAACCAGCACGGAGCAGCTCAGTCACTGCCCCAGCCCTGGTGGGGAGGAGAACTGGGGAAAGAATAAACCCTGTGGGACCAGAACAGCTTAATAATTGAAATAAATATAATAATATAACAATAATAATGAAAATGAGAGAGAGGAATTATTGTTTAGCCTGGAGAAAAGGAGGCTCAGGGGGGACTTGGAGCTCTCCACAATTCCCTGAAGGGGAAGGTTTGGGGGGGGGTCGGGCTCTGCTCCCAGGGAACAGGGGACAGGAGGAGAGGGAACAGCCTCTGGCTGTGCCAGGGGAGGGTTACATTAGAAATGAGAAACCAAGAAGTCCTTGATTCAGGGGGGGCAGGACTCGGCAACAACTAAAGCATCAGTGTGTTATCAATGTTATTCTCATACTAAACTATAAACACTAAGGAGAAAATTCACTCTATCCCAGCCCATATGAGGACAGTTCCCTACAAAAAACTGCATTCAAGGTTAAAACTCACCACAGTCTGTGAACGGGGCGAGTGCGAGGATGAAAAACACAGTGACTGAGCACAAGGCCACGAACCAAAGGCACAGACCTGCCTCTGCACAGCCCCTCCCCAGTAACAATCCTTCCAGGGACAATCCTGATCCTCACTTCAACTGAACCATTCCCCAGGAGCTCTGCTGCAAGCTGTTGAAGCCCAGAGTTTTCCTTTCCCTTGGAACTTGCTCCCAACCCAACCATCTCCTCCCTCACACTCCCACATCCCACCACGGGAACACCTCAGTGGAACTGCTGCTGCAGCCTCCCAGGCTCTCACTGGGAGCTCCACGGTGTCCTGAAGCCCTTGGAACCTTGGAATTGCTAAGGAAAGGCAGCTGCAGACAGGCAGCAACACACCCCAAGCGATCCTGAGGTTACGTAAGGCCCACGAGGTCACGAGGGGATTATCCCAGAATTTGCCAAATTACTTTGTCCAGCCAGGTGCAAGGAAGAGTAAACCCCTTTCTCCCTAAGCTATGCCTTTCCTACGTGTTTCCAAGTTAACTGTTATTAAAGCTTTATTCCAGGGCAGATTTGGAGGTGACCACAGGACTGCTCCTCTCCACCTCTCTGTGCTCCCCCAGCTCCACCACGGGGCCCAGCTGAACATTAAACCCACCTAAACTTGCTCCCTGGTTTAGGAAACGAGTGAAAGAAAAGCCTTGGGCAGAGCTGGACCAGCTAGAGCCTGACAGGATGGATGATTAAACCCCTTCTGACTGGAGAAAGCCAATCTCAGGAGCACAGCCCGTGCTGTCGGAGCTCATCGGTGCCTTTTAACATAAATAAATGAACAAGCAGAGGCTGAAAAGCCTGATCTGGGCAGGCTGCTCATCCTTCAGGAAAACAGAGCTGTCTGGAGCCTGGGACACGGAACTCCTGGAGCCCTGCCCCAAAAACTTGGTGTTACCCTCACACACTGCTCTACAACCCCCCACTGGGACCCCCGAACATCCCAGGGCTCGTTTATTCTGTTGCCTCAACAAATAAAGCACATTCAGCTCTACTGTGCTTTTAAAGAGTCATAAACACTGAATAAACCTCCTGAAAGAAACAGGAATCCTCCTCAAAAATGGGTAAGACAGATTGGGATGTTCCAGGATCCAATCCCAAGACTGGCCTGTGGCAACTGAGCCTGGTTTGGGCTGCAGAGCTCCAGTCCCCTCCCAGCCCAAGGTGGGAAGGCTGACAAACCCCACTCAAGGCAACTTCTCCAGCTTCTTCAGTTCAGGGTCTTGTTTGCATCTTGCCAAAGATTTAGATAATGCCCAGAACTGCACTCCAGCCATCCCAAAAAAGGGAAAAACAAATCTCCAAAGCAAGAAGAAGGAATCGCATCCCCCCCCTCCCCTGCCACGAAGGAGGGAAACAAGCTCTGCTCAAGGAAACCCAAAAGGCCTCGTTACACCCACAGCAAGATCCTCAGGTCATCTGAAATTGTCAGTAAACTTCCAGGGATACACGTCTGGGAGGACACACTTAAGGAACTGACATTTTACACCAATATTGTCACTGATTTTAGCACCAAGAAACCCTGGTGCTGAGATGGTTTAGAATCTGCAGCTTCTAGAACAAAGGGATCATTTTAAAATACCCTTAAATCATATGCAAAGTGCTAATAAGTCTTCGTGTTTTCCTGTTATTCCCACTTGTGCAATGTTAAAATATATATTTATATTATATAAAATTGCATATTTATATAGCATAATGTATTGTATAAATATGTATTTATATTATATAAATATATTTATATAACTTAATATATATGATATATAGAATATAATTTAATATAATAATACACATCTGAACTGCCCAAAGTTCCATGTTTTATGATCTCTTTGCTCACTTCCATCCTTCTACTCATTTGTTACCATTTAATGACTTAGGTCAGTATGGAAAACTCAAAGTTACATTTTCTGTATCACAAGGGACCTGATACAGTTCTAAACAAAATAAATAAATGCCTTAAACAGACCAGAATTCCCCACTCTGCAATCCTGGAGCTTTTATTTATTCTGAGGAATCACATCCCACTTTTCTCAACACTGATGAGCAGCAGGATTAAGGCAAAAACAAAAAGAAAAACTTTCTTTTGAAAGAAGTCACCAGGTTACCAGAGCACAGGTTTTCTTCTACACAGCACAGATTGAAGCCACAAAATAAGTAAAATCATCAAGGCACTGCTGGTCCCAGGTGACAATTCCCACTTGGCTGGGCAGGGAACAGAACCCAGGCAAACAGGGAAAGAACTTAAACCCAGGCAAACTGGGAAAGAAATCTGATGGATGGCCCCCAAATCTCACTGTTTTCCCTTTCACTCAGCTAAGGAAGCAAATCTCTGTTTAAAACTCTCCTTTTCCTAAGGAATTTCTGATAAAGCTCTTAACACTGAGAGGTGGGTGAGGCACCACTTCGAGTCCTGGGGCAGGTTTGGGGTCTCCAGTACAGGACATGGGGAATGGTTGGACTTGATGGTCTTAAAGGTCTTTTCCAACCCTAATGATTCTGTGATTCTAAACATCAGCTGGGCTGGAAAATGTTCACAACCAGCAAAGACAGCACTGTGTTTTACTATAACCAGCACATAGAGGCAGCAAGAAATCCAAATAAATAAACCCTTGGATCAGAAACATGGGATTTGGCTGTTAAGCATTTGGGTGTGAAGCTCCCAAAGGGGTGAGGAAGAGCAGGAGCTCCACATCCACCTTTGCCCCTTGGATTTGTCACCACCAGCCAGAGCTGTGGCACCTTGCACAGCTCTCATAGTTTGGGAAATGGTGTTGGCAGAGCACAAAATTTGGACAGTGCTTTGTCTGAGAACCCCAAGACAACCCAACCCCCAAAGATTAATATTTTAACAATATTTAATAATATTTACACGATGTTTTATGCCAGCATCTCCTGCGGCCCAGCAACGAGAGCTTATTTTAGGGGCTGAAGGACTGAAGAGCAGAGAAGCGACAAACAGGATTTGATCTCAACCTCTGCTTTTCAAGTAAGCTGTTCAGAGCAAACCCAGCAAGAGACAAAGGCCTGTCCCAGCACAGTCCCAGCCAGCAGGAGTGTCCCCTGGTGGGTCCTGCTCTGCTGCTTTGGGCACTTACGTTCCACCTGGATTCCATCGGGGTGGGCTTTGCCCCTGGGCTCCTGGCTCCCAGGCTTCGCCTCGTCCTCGTCATCCAGCAGTGGCACATAGTCTGTTTTATCCACCGTCTCTCCAACCACATCATCGAATTTCTCTGCCTCCAGCGTGGCAATGAAGTCCCTTTTCACCTCCTCCTCGATCTCGTGGGGCGGCTCCGTCAGAGCGTCCGCCAGGCTGAGGTTGTGCTCCAGCTCAGCCATTGCAGCACCTCTGCAACCTGGAAAAGCACGTGGGGAGGGGGGGAAGAGAAACAAACACCTTAATGAGAGATCTTTCATGGTTACCCCGTTTGGTGCTGAGCAGCCTGAGCCCTCACACGGTGACAAACGTTTGCTCCGGTGCTCAGTAACTCCCAGATGTTCATAAACCCCCCACACCAGCAGAGAAAGAAACAGCTGGGTCACCCAAATCAGGGTTTAGCTCCATTCCATGGGGTGTTTTATCAGAGTAACCTTCAATAAAAACTGCTAAAAAATCCAACCTGGTCAGAATAACCCTGGTGTGACCTTGGTTTGTGCCCTGCCCCAGAGCTCAGAGTTAATTACACACGCAAGAGAATTTAGTTCTGGGGCTGACTCCACCCAGCCTCCCCTATGGAGATTAGGATTTTCCATAATCCCTGATGTATATATACTGCAGTGAGGCTTCTGATCCCCTTGAGAGGGTCCTGCAGCATGTTTATGTCCTCAGCAAACCTCGCTAATACCAACAAACCCCCTCCAGCCCCGGGATTTGGGCTCGAAAGCGGCATTTTAATAATGTTTACACGAAAAAACAGAGTAAAGAGCACACGTAGGCATTATATCCACAGCTATGAATTGGAAATGAAGGAGAAGTAATCACCATTTCTCTCTCCCTCCCTGATTTGCATCCCTGCATTTGATTTGATTCCTCTGGCAGCCAACAGAAAATGCACCTGAGCTGACTCATCTCAACCCTCCAGGTTGGCACAACACACACCCAGCACCAAGCACTTATTTTTTTCATGTTTCATCCTTTTGAAGTTATTCTTGGGAACAACAGCCAGCGAAAACTGCTGGGAATTTAAGGGGAGCTGTCTAAGGGAGCAAAGCCACCACTCTGGAGTGAGAAAAGGCCCTTTTTGCCACGTTCTCTCAGAACAGAGTCAGTCGGAGCTGCTGAAGAGCAAAGGGATCAACAGCTCCATCTGCAGAAACTGCCTGCTGCAAACTGGAAAAACCCCAAACCAGAAAGGGCCAAGAACATCCAAACTGGTGTGTTTCCAGCTCCTACTGTGGGAGTTCAGCTTCCCTGGATTTTGGTCGAGGTTTGGGAATGCAAAGGGATTTGATGCTGCTCTCACTGATGCACAAACCGTGCAGAGACTCTCCCTGGAATGACTGACTCTCCCTTAGGACTCCAGTGAGCCAATGCAGCAGTGCCTGGTTGGGGAATTATCAGGGAACAAGAACATGGAAGTGAAGTTTAGAGTTCCAACAACAAAAAAGAAAGATATGAAGGAGCTCAGGGAAAGTGATTCAGCATCTCAGAATCAATTCTCACTATACTGAGACAAGAACCACCAAGCCACACTAGAATTCCAGAATGGTTTGTGTGGGAAGGGACCTTAAGGATCATCCAGTGCCACCCCTGCCAGGGGCAGGGACACCTTCCACTAGCCCAGGTTGCTCCAACCTGGCCTTGGACACTTCCAGGGATCCAGGGGCAGCCACAGCTTCTCTGGGCAACCTGTGCCAGGGCCTCCCCACCCTCCCAGCCAGGAATTCCTTCCCAATATCCCATCCAGCCCTGCCCTCTGGCAGTGGGAAGCCATTCCCTGTGTCCTGTCCCTCCATCCCTTGTCCCCAGTCCCTCTCCAGCTCTCCTGGAGCCCCTTCAGGCCCTGCAAGGGGCTCTCAGCTCTCCCTGGAGCCTTCTCTTCTCCAGGGGAACCCCCCCAGCTCTCCCAGCCTGGCTCCAGAGCAGAGGGGCTCCAGCCTCTCCTCAGGAGGACCTGGAGCTGAGGACACAGCCCTGGAGCCAGGACAAGGCACAGCCACAGCCCAAGGAAACACAAGGGGCACTTGTGTGTTGGTTAATGAGGGGTGACCCAAGTGGCCACTGTGCAGCAGCCCAGGGTCACTGACTTCCATGGGGTGGCAGAACACAGACCCTCTTGTTCCACAGGAACAAAGGCTCCTACTCCTTGAACTCCAGGAAATTCTTTGTCAGCAGTACAGGGCCATGGACACACACAACACATACCTACAGCTCCAGCCCCTCCAGGGCACTCACATTCCTCAGGGACAATGGGATCCCACTGCCAGTGCTGTCTCTGTAATTCCAGGCAAGTGTATTATGGAAACTAATTCAGTTAAAACTCTCCTTTTTCATTCTGCGAACAATAAAAGGTCAGACTTGCAGCCAGATCACACTTCAGGCAGCAACTGCACTTTTTGTTGGTTTAGATAAAGGCCTTGAATCACCACTTGGAATTCTTCAGAGGTGAAAGGTTTGGAGTTTTTAATCCCGTGTGCAGGGTCACAGCTGAGTGAATTATTGTTGTTAAAAATGCTGGGTTTAGACTTAAATGATAGAGCCTTATAAAAAAAAAAGTTTATTTTGGAGTTCTTGACTGTTTTCAAGACAAACCATCAGCCAGATGTGCCCACAGCTGGCCACGTTACCCTGCAGGGAGCATCAGCCAGGAGTTTTATCTGTGCATTGCAAAGGCTCTCCCAAGGCAGAAATGGGGCTCAGAAATGGCCAATTCTCATCACTGAGTCCAACTGTCCCCCAGCACGGCCCCACGGCCCCAGGTTGCTTCTAGAAAACACAGGAATCAAGGCTACAGTCAGAAAACCCAGAACACCCCAAAAACCTGGAGAATAAAGCAGCGGAGGCTGCAGTGAACACACCTCACACAGCCTGCCTGACTCACTGGGCAGTGTTTAGGCAGCCCAGAAATTATTCAGTCCTGAGATATCCAGGCACTTTCTGTCCAGCCCTAAACAACAGTTGGACTCGATGATCTCAGAGGTCTTTGCCAGCCTTAATGATTCCATGATTAACTGCACTATAATTAATGGAGTAAATGCCTCCAGAGCCCCGGTGGCAGCAGGAGCTGCTTCCCTTACTCCATGTGAGCAGGAAGCAGTCAGGAATTCTTAAACCCAAATCAAGGCTAATCCCACCCAGACCATCCTCTAACATGTGAATATTCCACCACAAGTAAAAGATGGATTCACATCATGCTTTTTTGGGTCCAAATTTTGGGGATTTCTGTGTCCACGTTATTGTGGCAGCACTGGATGAAATTGCTGCCACAAAATACATGGCATTTTAGGGGTCTGATGGCATTGACAGTGCTGCTGTTCCAGACCTACACGGGAACTAGGACACTAAAGTGATCTACTTTCTGAGGAAAAATAATAATGAGGTCATGCAGCCTTATCAGCAGGACATTTCCTTGTCCATATTTAGCTAAATAGGGAATGCAGAAACTATGTATAAAAATAAATCAGTGTAACTAAGAAAAGCCAATCTGCATTTTTGTAGCAAACACGGAACTGGTGTCTCAGACAAGCACCTGGTACAAACCTCCCTCACCCAGAGGCTGCAGGAATCCCCCCCAGCCCAGGGGGGTCAGAACACCCCTGGGAATCTCTCCCTTTCCATCTCTGCTGTTAGAGAAGCCAAACTACACCAATTCCCAGATTCCCAGGGCCTGCAGAGTTAACAAAGACAGGAGGAAAATGAATATATTGCATGGATTCTGCCCAAGGGTAGAAAGCAAATCCCAAAGAACATCCCTTTGTTGAGCAGTTCAGGGAGACAGATGCTTCCTACACCACTTCCATTCTCCTGGAACAAAGTCAGCCAGGAAGCATCAAAGAATCATCACCAAGATGGCCCTTAATCCACTGCTTCCATTGCCATGGAAATCAGACATTCCCAGAGCCCAGGGAGGATGGATTCTGACCCGAACCTTTAGGATGAAAGGGCAAAACTGAGCAAGGACTGAGGTTTGGGAAAGCAGAGGCTTAAAAATGCACTAAATTTCTCCCTGGAAAGGGTGGTGAGGCCTTGGCAGGGGCTGCCCAGGGAGGTTTGGAGTGCCCAGCCCTGGAGGTGTCCCAGGAAGGCCTGGCTGTGGCACTCAGTGCTCTGGGCTGGGGGACAAGGTGGGCATGGGGCACAGGGGGGATCCATGGGCTGGGAGGGCTTTTCCAGCCTCAGTGATCCTGGGATTCCATGATTTCAAACAATCCTTCAGCTGAGAAAGAGCTGCCAAGGTCCTTGTGTTTGTTAAACAGCAGAGGCAGCAGCCATGGGGTGACACCAGCCTGCCTGGCTCCAGGTTTGCATCCCTGGAATAGCCTCAGGGGACTCACCAAGGTGAGCAGTTTGCTCCAAGGAAGGTGTGGAAGGAGCAGACCACGGCCTCACCAATCCCACAGCTGCACTACAGCCAAGGAAAAGGCTTTTCCTGGAGCTGGACACCCCAGGAGATCTTCAAACCATCCCACAGCAAATCAATCGTGTTCCTTTAATTCCCACATTATTTTTCTCTAAAGGGGTTGTTTAGATCTCTCAGTGTTCCAGGCACAGCTGATCTGTCACACTCAGGGTTTGCCCCATCTGTTCCTTTCCGTGCTCAGAATCCTTGTGCACGCAGCGAGGAACCTGTTTGTTGGGAAAAATAAAATCCATCTTCCTGGTAGCTCCTCTGGAAGGTTCAGCAGAGTTATTTTAATCTCTCACCCACATCACAGACCCCCCTGTCCTGGAGTCTTGTTCCAAAGAGCTCCTACTATTCACTAGGTTTCAGCTGTGGCTGCCCCATCCCTGGAAGTTGTCCAAGGCCTGGTTGGAGCAACCTGGGAGAGAGGAAGGTGTCCCTGCCCATGGCAGGGGTGGGACTGGATGAGCTTTAAGGGTCCCATGGGCAGGGACACCTTCCACTCTCCCAGGTTGCTCCAAGCCCTGTTCAACCCAATCTTGGACACTTCCAGGGATGGGCTGTCAACTTCTCAAACTGCCAAGAACTCCTTGCCCAAGTTTTACTCTTAAGTGACCCAGTGGAGCAACTTCCAGAACCATCCTCTCACCCAGCCTCCCTCTGGAAGCAGAGACGAATCAAACAGCCCTTCCATGAGCCACTGCCTCCAGCCTCCCATCCAGGGAACAGTGGGATTTGCTTCCTGAACTCTGTGTTTCCATCCTGTAGCTTCCATGACTGTGCTGTTGTGTTCC